TTGCCTCTTACTCCCTTATAATCTCTCTTAAACCCTGAATCCCTCTCTCTCCGTCCTCTCTTCTCATTCGGTAAACCCACAGTTCCATGGCTCTTTCTCGGGGGACCAGACCTCGACTCAGTTCTCCTTCGAGGTGGCTCAGCAAACTCGTCCGAGTCACCCTCCCTCCTCCTCTTCACTGAAAACCCTTCTCTACCCCCACTTCTATTGCTACCGATATCTCCATCTCTAACAGGGACCCTCTTGCTTTTATAGCGACGACCCATATCAGAATCTGATTCGCCTTCGTTAGTCACTCGGGCACCAAACGAGTTAGTCCTCAAGTCACTAACCCAGTCACTGAGTTCGGCCTCGTCTTCAATTAAACTCTTAGAAGCCCTAACCTCTCCTCTCTCTCGTCCAGCACCAGTGCGGCTGAATTCGGGTCTTGACCCGGTTGGCCCAGGTCGAAATGAATGGGTGGAGAATTGATAAGCAAACCCTAGGTGCTTGAGTTTAAAAGGAAAGATCCGAGAGAAAATGGGGATGGACCTAGGGGCATTTACGGAGAGTCCGATATTCATGAAAGGGAAACGGGTTACGGGTAGAGATGGGTTAAGGGAACGGAGAGGAGGAAGAAATTTAATGGGCATTAGGAGTACCTGGATTTGCCAGTTTCCGGTTGTTGAAGCTGGGGAATAGTTTTTTCGTGAATGGATTAGGGTTTAAGGATTTTATGGCTTTTAAAGAGAGGTACCGTTGTTGAGAATTGAGATAGGGTTTAAGGGTATTGGAAGGAAACCCTAGCCCGGTCATCTAAACGCATCGTTTGGTGTGTGGGATTTTTTTCTTGTGTGAATTATAACTTAGTTCCTGTAGTTTATTGAAATAATTAATTAGTCCCTACAGTGTTAAAAAATATTAAATAGTTCCTCGACTAACATTGATCGCCTCAATTATCTCTCTTTTTTCAAAATATTTCATTTTGGCTTGGATTGGAAACCATCTATTTTTCGATAGAAGTGTTGGCCTTTTTTCCACGCTAAATATTTTATATAGTCATTTTAATGTGTTAATAAAATATGATAAAAATATTTATATTTTTCTCTAACAGAAAATTTTACAAAAAATTATTTTGATTGAACTATCTTTTTTCACTAAAAATAAATGGAAAGATAAAAAAAATTGGAAGAAGAAAGGATTTTTTACTATGGGAATCAAATTTTCCGATCTTCTCCACAAAACTTAAATTTGTTCTTATTTTCAATAAAAGAGAACAAGATAAATTGGAAAAATTTATAGAATTCATGGAGGGAGTAAGTTATAAATGGATTCAAAAAATAAAGATTTAAAATATGTTTATGAAACTACAAGGATTAATAATTAATTTTGTTAAACTAAAAGGATCATGTTATAATTTACTCTATTTTCTTTAGTGAGGCTTTTTTTAATTGATTTTGTGATGCGGATAGAGGTACAAAAAAGTATATAAAAAGCAAAGGGAAACAAAAAGTAAGATACATTACAAAAAACACTATGCACTCATGTTCTAAATTATATATATATATATAATTTAATTCCAATTGTTAGTTAAACATTTCTTTCTTATGTCGACCTAATGTTTTTCTCTCGTTTTCTTATCTCTCTTTGTTTGAAGAGAAAGAAAGACGAAAAATCATGCAATCAATCTAGTAAATTTGAATTGATTGACCTTGAGGATGGTCGTGACATACGATCTAGGAACAAAATTCAAGGACAAATATAGATATTAATTGAAGGAATTATGAGGACGAGTAGTGTATTGGGCTTATTGATGTTGTAATTTTTTGTGAAAATAAGAGTATTGATTCAACAAGTGGGGAACGACAATTTAGTAATGCGGATGGTTTGTTGTGGGGAACATGGACAGCATGACCCCTCGATAGAGTGTCAAACATGCTTTTAGAAGCATTGAGATAGCAATTATATCGGATGACATTAGAAGAAAAAATGGTGATAATATTGAGGGCACCGACCAAAAAAAGGGAGAAAATAGTGAGTCCGATTTAGAAGATAGTGGAGATGGTTAGGATGGTTGTGATAGTGTATTGGAGCTCGATGATTAGACATAATTAATTGATGTGTCATGGCTTACCGACAATGATGATGAAGAGCTAGTTACTTCTAAGAATAAGTTATAGAGTTAAAACAATTTAAGAGTAAAAAACATATTGCTTTTAACCTTAAAGCACCACCAGTTAATACTCCATAATCAAATAGTCAAAGACACTAGAGGTAATGATACTGAATGAGGGAAAATTAGTATAGGTTTGTATAAGTTTGATTGGATAAAGATGGAAGTCTTGAATCAAGTAGTGATGATGATGGTGATGGTGAAACATATCGGGCAAGGAAAAAAAAGTTAAAAGCTATGTATTTCTATGACATCGTCAAAGATCCTCGGTTTTCACTTGGCATGGCTTTTAGAAACAAGAAACAAATTATTGAAGCTTTAAAAGATCATTGTATGGCTAAAAGGAGGGAGATTGAATTTATCAAGCATGACGGATAAAGAGTTAGAGCAAAATATAGTGATCGAAATATGAATGGGTGTTTTATGCAATATATCAAAAACAAACATATAACTTTGAACGTGGAACATATCTAGATGACCATACCTATAAGGTTGCATTTAAGAATATAAGGATCAAGGTTGGGGTTGTAACTAATTAAAAAAATTAGGAGTATTGCTTTGAAAATGAATAAAAAAAAGATGTGAAAACATAAGCTAGAGAGAAATTATGTTGTAACATAAGTCTTGACCAAGCTAGAAGAGCAACAAAAAATATAAAAGGACATTTTCATGGTGATGACAATATTGAGTGCTCAATACTACAAGATTACTTAAAAGAGGTGAAGAGGAGTAATAAAGAAAGCACCATTAAAAGCTTATTTACCGAAGCTTAGTAGAGGGGCTGATCTAGTATTCAAGGCTTTAATGCATTTAAAAAAGGATGTAAGGCGGAATGTAGGCCTATTATTTGGATTTTTTTGAAATGAAAGTATAAAGATGAGATCTTAATTGCTATGGGAAAAGATGGGAATAATCAAATATTTCCTTTAGCTTAGACTATTACAAATGGTGAAAACTAGTACATTTTTTCGATGTGAGCCTACGAGGTGAAATCATAAGACATATGGAGTTGCCACCTAGCTAATCGAAGAGAACAAAGAAACCTTAAACATACTAGTTTGCAAAAAAATATATGTAAGGGTTTGATTATATACGTAAAAGATATAACATCACCATCATCTCGTCCTACCTAAGGTAGGTCGCATTAAATGCATGTGGAAATAAAAATCTAATTTTTTACCATGTTATGCTTTTATGTCTATTTAAATGGGTTTATTTTGTTAAGATGTAAAAACAGAGTAGTTTGAGGTGTGGATATAAAACATAGTAGTTGGGGATGTGGATGTAAAATAGAGTAGTTTGGAGATTAAGGCTAATTTAAGACTAGTACCCTTCACTCAAAAGGGAAAATATGAGGAAAGTTAGAATTTTAGCTAATCTTTAGTGAACACGACCTATACCAACAAGTAGGTAAGTTTTTAAAGATCGATAGCTTTTTTATTAACATGAGCGACAAATCGTCGATAACTTCACTCACACAAGTAGGAAGCATCGACGACTTTGAGACATGGATCTAGGAAGTTATCGAAAAATTCATCACATAAGTGAGAAGTCACCAATAACTTCATTTTGCTTGAGCAAGTACCAAATAACTAATTTAAAAGCCATTGGCAACTTCTTCACATAAGTGGACGACCATTAGGAGTTTGTTTTTCGACAAACATAGCATATACAAAATGATTTCAAAATTATTGATGGGTTTTTCATATAAGTAAAAAGTTACCAATGACTTCGTTTCCATAAATAGGAAATGGTTTTAAGGCTACTAGCGGCTTCATCCACATAGGTGGAAGTCATTGGTGACCTATTTTCTAACAAACGGAACATATGTAAAATGATGTCGAAATCATTGATAGCGTTATCACACGCAAGTAAAAAGTTATCAATAACTTCATTTCCACAAATAGTTTTTGGAGAAAATGATTTTGAGGCCATTGGCATCTTCGTCCACATAGGTAAAAAGTTACCGATAGCTTATTTTCTAACTAACGAACGCACATAAAAGACTTTAAAAAATTGAAATTGGATGATATGTTTTAGATATCACTTTACACATTTAGAAATATTACAACCAAGCATACCATATCAATCAAACCATAAAAATAGGTACAAATTTTGCATTAAAAACATAAATGTAATATAGGATAGTTTGTTCATAATGGCAATTACGGTAACATTCATCTCAAAAACATTTAAATCATAAAAATAATAATATAATGATATAATTTCATTCATATTTTGATGGAGTACAATCATTGAAATAGTTTTACCTAAAAAATTACGTAGTTTAAGCTGTCCAATTTAAGGATCAATTCTACTCTCTTTATCCCGATAATAACCGATCATTCGAGTTAGTCAAAAAATAAGAGTAGTTACTCATTATCAAAATGTTGTAAGAGTCATCTAAAGTGATTAAAATTCTCTTTAAACTCGATGGAAGTAGTCAAAGTTATTGTTATTTCCAAAGTTGTTGTAAATTTATTGAAGTTATTGCTTGGTTTCAAAGTTGTTATAAATTTATGGTAACTCCGAAAATCTCAAACTTCTCTATGATTTACCAAAGTTGCTTCAACTCGAGGGGATTTAGCAATAAAGTTATTATTGTATTTTTTCTGTTAAAAACCAATACAAATACGGCCTTTAACATGATATGGAACATAATCAATTCAAACACTAATTTTTTATATGAAAAGTGGCTAGTTGGTCTGCTAGTTTTAAGTGAGGTAAAAGGTTATTTAGTTGCTTGGAGGAGCTACTTAGGCTCGAAAGGGACTGTCCGGCATGCAAGGGTAGTTTGGTGTGCAAACTAACTACGAGGCAACCGGGATCTGTAGGAGGCATAAGAGGGATGTTATGGGGTATGCTACTCGGTTATGAGGGTAGTTTGGGTTGTGCACGAGGTGGCTATGGGTGTATGATCGGTTATGGGTATGGGACTAGTTATAAAGACGGTTTGGGTTGTGGAATGAACGACCGAATATGGGGTTACTTGCATGTGATAGGGCTTAATGTTAATGCATGAAATGGCTACGAGGGGACCTAACACTATGCGGTGTTGTACGTTGCTTGAATATGGGTGAGCATAAGAGGATACTACCTATAGGGTACTCGAGGAATGCTAGGCAAGGATTGTTATGTGTTGGCCTATGGTGTGCAAGGCTACAAGAGTTGTCAAATGTTAGCTTATGGTGTGTGAAGCTGCACTGGCTATTATACGTTGGCTTATGATGTACGAGGCTGCGAGGTACGTGGGGCACGTGCATGAGGCTACTTGCTCGTGAGGCACGTATGCAAGATCGCTGGTTTGTAGGGCATTAGCCCAGTTCGTCGTGTTACTCGACATAAGGCGAGGTTGGGTTGCTATGTTGTTGGTGTAAGGTGAGGTCGAGGTCTGCTATAAGAGGATGTAGGGTATGTGAAGGGGTTGTGGGTGAGAAATGTTGACAATGGTAAGGGTTGTGAGGGGTGTGGTTTAGAGGTTCAACGTGGCGATATGGGGCTGCTAGAGACTAATGGGGGAAGTTAGAGGCTATTTCGGATGAGGTGATGGTGTGTGAGAGGTAGCTTCGGTGAGGGGCGATGAGAAGAGATGGTGGTTTGGGTGAAGTTTTTTGTGCAATCAAGACGGAGTCGACTAGGTAAAGGTTTTTGTGAGGGTGATCTACGGTAACTAGTATAAAAAAAACAAAGGAGGGCTTTTATTGGTAGGTTTTTGGTTTTTTAGTAAAAGTCTATTTTGACCCTTGATTTCTTATAATGCATCAATTTGAGCATAGTTCTAATTCTTTCAACTTTAATGACACCTTTAAATTACAATTAATTAGGATATTTTCTTTTAATTTCTACCAATTATACCCTCTATTTATTTTAATTAAAGGATTGAGATTTTAGATTTTTTATAATTGTACCCCCGAGTTGTCTTTTTTATTTCTAAACTTTTATTATTTTTTTAATTACCCTCTAGAGCTAATCCGAGCTACTTGTTTCAAATGACTTTTTTCTTTTTCCCTTTTTTTTCTTTTTTCTTCTTTTTATAATTGACATTTTTGTTTTGTTTATTATTATATATTTTGTATTTTTTGTAATAAAAAATAATAATAGAAATAAAATAATAAGAGCAAAAATTTGGTGTTAGTTACCTCCTCTTTAAAATACTTTCATTTCAAAGTCATTAAAAGGCTATTGTTTGATTTTGTGTAGGAAGCTTTGTAAAGAAAAATAAGCATTTAACTGGAAACATATAGTGAAAATAAATGAGCAAACATAAAAATAAAAATAAAAAGCTAATCATCAAATTTAAATGACAATCGACCATTTGACGAGATGTGATCGACCTCTCATTTTATAAGACATGACAAACCTCTCTAACTTTATAGGACATGATAGACTACTCGACTATGTTATATTTTATAGACCATTCTAATTTGGCATAACATGATAGGCCATTTTGAATCTTTTATGTGTGACGTGCCACTTTGACTTTGACAGGACGTGATAAACCACTCTAACCTTACTAGGTATGGTAGACCACTCTAACTTTATAAGATGTAATAAACTATTTTGACCTTGGAAGATGTGATAGACCACTCGACTTTGTAGGATATGATAGATCACTCTAAATTTACAAGACGTGATGGACCACTCGACCTTATAAGATGTAACATACCACTTCGACTTAGAGAGACATGATAGACCACATCGACTCTACTATATTTGGTGAACCACTCTAATTTGATAGGACATGATAGGCCTTTTTAACTTTGCTAGATATGATAGACTACTCGACTTTGCAAGACATGACAAACTATTATGACCTTATAAAATATGATAGACCACTAATTTTACAAGATGTGATAGACCACTCTAGCCTTATAAGACATGACGGACCACACCGACTTTATGAGATATGATAGACCACTATGACTTTACAAGATGTGACAAACCACTTTGACTTTATGAGACGTGACGGACCACTCTAACTTTACGGTATGTGATAAACTACTTCAACTTAGAGGGGTATGATAGACCACATCGACTTTAAATGGTATGACGAGACCATACTTTTTGAGAAGATATGGCGAGGCCACCATAACCTAGATTCATATGACAAACCCGTTAGTTTAAAAATATATGACGGACCATGTTTTTTGATAGGATATGACTGATCACTCTAACTTAGACTAACATGATAGACCATGTTAATTTTGAATGATATAATAGACTATGCTTTTTGATAAGATATAATTGACCACTTAACCTAGACTAACGTGATAGACCACGTCAATTTTAAATAATACAACAAATCATACTTTTTGATAAAATATGACTAAGGACTCGACCTAGACTAATGTGATAGACCATGTCGATTTTGAATGATGTGACGGATCATGCTTTTTGATAAGATATGATAAGCATTCGACTTAGGCCGATGATATACTACATCGATTTTGAATCACATGACGGACAATACTTTTTAATAAGATATAGCTGCTCATTCTAACTTAGACTAACGTGTTGAACCATGTTGATTTTGAATGATGTGATAGATAATGCTTTTTGACAAGATATGACTTACTATTCTAACTTAGACTCGATGATAGGCTAGATTGATTTTTAATGATGTGATAGACCATACTTTCTAATAAGATATGACTAACCATTTTGGCTTAGATTAATGTAATGGATCACATCAATTTTGATCGACATGACAAAGCATACTTTTTTACAAGATATGACATATCATTCGACTTAAATCGACGATAAACTATGTTGATTTTGAAAAATACGATAGACCATGCTTTTTAACAAGATATGCCCGACTATTTTGACTTAAAATGATGTGATAGACCACGTTGATTATGAATGATGTAACGAATATACTTTTCAATAAGATGTAGTCGATCATTTTGGCTTTGACTAACATAATAAACCATGTTTATTTAGAAAGCCATAACGGACAATGTTTTTTTTAAAAGATATGATGCATCACTTTGACTTAGATTAATATGGATTTTTTAGAAAAGCATAGGTCATTACTAATAAGATAGAAGTCTCTCTTTCTTTTTGTCTTCATTTGTGTGTCGTCCGAGCTTGGATAGGTTTAAAGTTTTAGACTAGCTACTTTCATTGAGCTTGTCCGATTACACTTTTGATTATGCTCTCTGTTTTTATATTCATTGGGACGACTACTTAAGCCACTTGCTTATTTCATTTGAGTGGCATTCATTTCTTTAATAAAATAAAAGATCATTGTTCTTTTGTATCTCTTCTTTAATACTTGTCCCCAAATGTCTAGACTTTTATCGATACATATCAAGAATCTAGCCCAAAATGGTGGAGGTGGCCTTTTGTCTACCGTCTATTGTTCATCATAAGGAAGCTAGTAACAAATTTTATGGAGGCGGACTTCTTATAGACCAAGTCTAAGTAAGATCCTTATCAAGTTATCATATGACAATTTATTGCATTATCATATTTCATGAATAATATCAATTACAAGACCAGTGCATGAGACTAAAAAAGCTTTTTTTAGAAACTGATCATACTTGTGAAAATAAGGGTTCTTTAAGAGATAAAAGATTATGAACCACATCAAGTTAGAAGGGGTTAAGAATAAACAAAACAAAGTCAAATAATCATATTTATGGATATTTAGCCATAACTTAGATTATCTCTTGATTGTTTTGGATATGAGGGAATTGAAATGCTTAGTTTTCTACTACCGACACGGATTTATGATCAATTCGATTATAGCATATTTCTAATGTATTGGTAGTAATCATCCATTTGTCATTTACCTTTCATTATTATTGCTCATGTTGTTTATCTTCTTTTGATGTTTACGTTTAATTATGTGAACTTGTCTTTAAGAGATTTTTTTTTAATTTTTAAAAAATCATCTTCATTTGTTTTGACTTCATGGATAAGGCCATCTATCAAAGCAATTTGAATTATCCAAAATAAATCATAAAGATGTTTACAAGAATGTAACCTCATTCAAGAAAATATTTAACTTATTTGATTAAAAGCCAAAATGCATCACGTAATGCCGACATGCAATTCTTATGGTTATCTTTTTTTCAAGCTATAATGAGCAAGATGTCTTTAGATCATAAAAGTTTTGAAAAGTATTCATCTCTTCTAACAGGTGATTGACAAATTTTTGATTCCATAATATGACATGTTTAGATGAATTTCGGGAACTAAAAGTCTTTAAAAGAACTTTTGGCTCAAATGGGTAAACTTGTGAAGAAAGACTTGATTAATTTCTTTCTTGTCCCTAGTCACTTGATGAAAATTTATGATTTAATATCATAAATGGTGGTTTGTAATTCATAAATAAGTCAAGTTTTATTCAAAAACATGTTCTTCCTTCTTCTCATTTGAAGCTAGAACTCATATATATAAGCAAGTCATCTTTGATCGAAAGAGCTTTCATAGGCACTTAATGAAAGTTAAGGTTTCGACTTATAAATGAAAGGATATAAAAAGCTCAAAAGGTGTTTGAGGATCTAAAGACCTAGGATCACTTACTCGTTTATCGAGATCACTTTAGACATGCCACCTTGACTTTGTCATCTTGCTAATTGATCTCATTTTTTAATCTCGACTCTCTTTTCATGTTCACTTTTATCATTTTTTGTTTTAAGGATTTAAACCCCGGTGTTTAACTTTTTCTAACTTCAAATCATGAGAGGGATCACTCTAGATAGTATTCATTTTGTCTCAATGCGTTCACTTTTGTTTTTTTATTTCTCTTTTTTTTCAAAGTCGTTCAAGGGTTTTTTTATAAGTTTTTATTTTGTGAAAAATTATCATCATTTCTTATCTAGTTTTTCCAGGAGAATGTCCTTTGATTTTTCATGAACTTTAGAATTGCCTCCAATGTGAAGGGTGATTCGAGTCTAGGTCATTATCAAAAGCAATCCTTTAGACTCAAAGTTAGACAATAAAAGATAGGTTTTTTGTGTGTATAAAAGCATATAAAAAATGGCTTTTCTTTAATTCAAACTCGATCTTATTCAAGGTGATAAGTTATACTTTTATTTGAAAGCTATGATTGATTTTTGGAGAAGAAGGAGGATAAAATGAGACCATGACTCAAATGTTTATTACTTATGATCGTTTAAGATATCAAATGACTTTTTTTTTTTTGGCATCAAAGTATCATCTTAGGCAAGACTATCGTAGAAGGATTTGTCAAAAATAATAAAGCAAGGTTTTTGGTTTCGAAAATAGAGGGATCGTCCCTCGGTATTTGCATGACATGTTTTAAAAAGTTGATCAATGTTAAAAGATTTTGAATGAGTTTTTCATTTTATTCACTTTAATTTGGATGATATAAAATATCAATGATACTTTTAAATAAACATCCCTTAATTTCAAATTGATAATAAAATCATGTTAAGATAATAGGAATTTATTTTTTATAGAAACGACTCAATCCATAAAAATCATATAACTTTTGTAAATGAAATCTAAAAATTTAATATAAAGTAAGATTTTATTCACAAAATTAAGTCACGC